TCTCGGACTGATGTCCTCCTCTACCCCAAAAGGCCTCAGACTGAGGCGAAAAAAACAAATTTTTTCCTGCGTGCCATGTGAGTATCCCCTTAATAAAATTTTTTAACCCGGTAATCTTAACAATGCATTTTCTTTTTCAAAATCTTTCCACCCCCGCGGTCTCAGGCCCCATTTAACGTTTTAAGGGAAAAATTTTCCCCCCCGAGCGCGGGCAGCCCGAAAACAATTTCTGCCTTCCTCAGGACTTTCCTCCCTCTATCTGTTGCAGTCTTGCCCCTTTTTCATGGCTCCTGAGACGCACAGTGCGCGAAAGATCTTGAGCTAAATATTTCTATCCCCATGTGGCTTGTTCGGTATTATTATAAACCCAACCCAAAGACAAAACCCTTTACCGTGTTGCCGTTCTATAACCCTTAAACTGGGAGCGAACTTTTTTCAACATTAAGAAAACCCCCTTTAAAAGACGGTCAAAATCTTTTGTTTTAGTTTTTTTTATTTATCCTTACTCTTTTTCTTTTTTTTAATTTAGTTTAGGGATGTTCAAATTTGATTTTTAGTACAGTGCCCGACTTAAAATTAGCTTCGAAACTGTGGAAAATTAAAGTATATTTCCGAAAATAGTGTATTGATGAAATTAATAAAATAATGTAAATTTTAATTTAAAAAATTTATTATAAAAAATGGGAAAACTCGGGGCCTGCGCGTTTTTAGCAGGAGAGTCCCATTGTTTTTTTTGAATGAGCCCAAAAAAACGTTAGCGAAAATAAGAATTTTCGTCGCTCTAGAGGTTAATTGGGCTTGCACCTTCAAATAGGGGCCGAAATTGTTGGAAAAGCAAATCCGCTAACGGAAGAATCAGGCGATGGACAGAATTTTCCCTAAAAAGATGAAAATAGGAATTTAAACCCCCAGCTAGTCATATCTATATTTAGGTTTTGAGTTCTGGCCAGTATTATTACATAAATGTTAGACAGGGTTTTTTTTTTTGGTATATACACAGTAAACCCAGAAAATTGGGAGTGTTATGATTAAAATTTTTCCCTTCTGTTTTAAAAATTGTATATTAAAAATTTAAATTTTTAAAAACAGTCCACAAAAATTTTTAAAAATTTACCGAATTTGGTGTAGTAATTTCATTTGCAATTAATATAGGGCTAGAGTAACTTGTGGAGAGATAAGATGGTGGTATCAAGGGGGACATTTTGGATAGGTGCCAAAAATTCCTACCCCTTAAGAAAAAAAAATTTTCTTTTTACCATTTACAGTAAAGAGATCTTTTCCCGGAAATGTAAATTTTTTCCCAAAAAGGGGCAAATTTTTTCCCCTTTCACAGAAAAAGTATTCTCTATCCAACCCCAAATGAAATTTTTTTAAATATTTGGACGGTAAATCAAGCCCCCTTTTTTTTAAAGTTTCGCAGGGCCATTTGGGTTTTTTCCACTTTATAAATTATCCACCTTCCTATTTAATATTTATCCAAAAATGTTTTTCCCCAAACTTTCTCCGAAGCAAATTTCGCCAAACACCAAAAATTTATAAATTGAGTGTAAAATGTAATAGTTTTTAAAAAGTTTTCCCATGGCCCAAAGTTTTCTAAACTTTTCCTTTAAATTAATTTTAATTATTCGCCCCAAACTGTCTTATTTTCCCCTTAAAAAAGGAAAAATTTTGCCTACACTCCGATTTTCCCCTAGATGGCACGCAAAAACCAAAATTTTTCTTAAAATTTCTACTTAAATTAATTTTTAACCACATTTACCCTTTTTCTGGAGTTCCTGAAGGGCTTCCGGGAATCAACGCCCCCGCGGCCCTTTTTTTTTCCCCCAATCTCCCAAAAACCTATCCCCAACGGGCCCGTACGCGGGGCCCCCGTTCCAACGTAACGAACACAGCCGTTATCTGCCCCTCCCCTTGAAACCCCAGGGCTATTGGGAGCCCTTAGCGGGGGGTTTTTATAATTTCTTATTCCTATAATTTCAAAAAAAGGTTTTTTGAATTTTTAAAAGGGTTTTGAACCCTTAACAAATGCCCCCAGAATGACACGATTGCAAACAACTCAAAAAAAAGGAGAGGAGTTATAGGACTGGGCAAAGTCAAGCCGCCTTAATAAGATTCAATATTTTTCCCTAATAAAATATTGGGCGGGGATGAACCGGGATAATGTCCGGCCGCTAGTTTTAAACTGCTTGCCATGGGTTCGGTCCCCCCCTTTCCCCTTCATGAATTAGCAAATTTTCATAGGTGGGTGGGTGCAGAGTCCCCAAAATGTGGTTCAGGGGGTTGAGTCACAGTTCCTGGCCCGGGCACCGCGCGAACGAGAGAACCCGAACTGCATGGCCAAAAAGTCCTTAACTTTTCGGAGAGGGGTTATCCCAAGTAAAAATACACAATACAAATCAATTTAAAACGAAAACTATTTTGTATATTACAACTTTTAAAAATATATGACCAAAAAATTTTTATGTAACAGAACAAAGCTATTTTAGAGAGCGGAAAAAAAAATTATGGCTCGGGCACTGGTACATGCCTGGCGGGGGGGGGAGATGAAGGCAAGGGGGGGAGGGGAGAGGGCCCGGAAAGTGGAGGAGAGGATGGGAGATTTTTAAGAGAGGAAGGGAATAGTTAATCCCCAGACAGGATACTATTTTTAAAAGGTAGAGAGATAAAAAGGATGAATAAAAGAAAAACCGAAAAAAAGGAATAAAAAGTATTGGAAAAGGTGGATGAGAGAAAATTAGTCTGTGAAAAGAACAAGAAAAAAAAAAAAAAAAAAAAAAAAGCCTCTAGATGCAAAGAAATACAGTTTTACATCTTGCCATCGTTTTAGTCAACAGCGGGCCACACACAATAACATCAAGACGAGATGTGTCGACCTGAGGCGAATCCAGTCCTGTAGCCAGCACCGACCTATAAAGTAACAACTGTTGCAACAAGCCATTAAGCTTAAAAGTAACAATAGTGCTGCTACAAGCCAGTATCACCCTAAGAAGTAACACTACTGCTACAAACCAGCAAGTAACGAAAGTTGCTAAAAGCCAGCACCAGGGCAACAAGTAGCAATACTGATGCCACAAGCCAGCACCAGGGCAACAAGTAGCAATACTGATGCTACAAGCCAGCACCAGGGCAACAAGTAGCAATACTGATGCTACAAGCCAGCACCAGGGCAACAAGTAGCAATACTGATGCTACAAGCCTGTACCAAACCAGGAAGTAGCAATACCGTTGCTACAAGCAAGTATCAGGGCAACAAGTAACAATACTGTTTCTACAAGCCAACATCAGGGCAAAGTAACAATACTGTTTGTACAAGCCAACATAAGGGCAACCAGTAATAACACTGTTGCTATAAGCCAGCATCAGGGCAAAAAGTAATACTACAAGCCAGCATCAGCGTGTACCAAGCCGGGAAGTAGCAATACTGTTGCTACAAGCCAGCACCAAGCAACAAAATGTGCTACAAGCCTATACCAAGCCAGGAAGTAACAATACTGTTGCTACAAGCCAGCACTAAGCAACAAAATATGCTACAAGCCTATACCAAGCCAGGAAGTAACAATACTGTTGCTACAAGCCAGCACCAAGCAACAAAATATGCTACAAACCTATACCAAGCCAGGAAGTAACAATACTGTTGTTACAAGTCAGCACCAAGCAACAAAATATGCTACAAGCCAGCACCAAGCCAGGAAGTAGCAATACTGTAGATACAAGCCAGCATCAGGGTAAAAAGTAGCAATACTGTTGCTACAAGCCAGCATCAGGGTAAAAAGTAGCAATACTGTTGCTACAAGCCAGCATCAGGGTAAAAAGTAGCAATACTGTTGCTACAAGCCAGCACCAAGTCAACAAAATATGCTACAAGCCTGTACCAAGTCAGGAAGTAACAATACTGTTGCTACAAGCCAGCACCAAGCCAGGAAGTAACAATACTGTTGCTACAAGCCAGCACCAAGCCAGGAAGTAACAATACTGTTGCTACAAGCCTGCACCAAGCCAGGAAGTAACAATACTGTTGCTACAAGCCAGCAAGTAACAATACTGTTGCTACAAGCCAGCACCAAGCCAGGAAGTAACAATACTATTGCTACAAGCCAGCACCAAGCCAGGAAGTAACAATACTGTTGCTACAAGCCAGCACCAAGCCAGGAAGTAACAATACTGTTGCTACAAGTCAGCACCAAGCCAGCAAGTAACAATACTGTTGCTACAAGCCAGCACCAAGCCAGCAAGTAACAATACTGTTGCTACAAGCCAGCACCAAGCCAGGAAGTAACAATACTGTTGCTACAAGCCAGCACCAAGCCAGCAAGTAACAATACTGTTGCTACAAGTCAGCACCAAGCCAGCAAGTAACAATACTGTTGCTACAAGCCAGCACCAAGCCAGCAAGTAACAATACTGTTGCTACAAGCCAGCACCAAGCCAGGAAGTAACAATACTGTTGCTACAAGCCAGCACCAAGCCAGCAAGTAACAATACTGTTGCTACAAGCCAGCACCAAGCCAGCAAGTAACAATACTGTTGCTACAAGCCAGCACCAAGCTAGGAAGTAACAATACTGTTGCTACAAGCCAGCACCAAGCCAGCAAGTAACAATACTGTTGCTACAAGCCAGCAAGTAACAATACTGTTGCTACAAGCCAGCAAGTAACAATACTGTTGCTACAAGCCAGCACCAAGCCAGGAAGTAACAATACTGTTGCTACATGTATGAACGGTGACTGTTGCTATGCAGCTCTGCCGTTATCGACGCCCAAGCTGCCTCTCGCCTCCGTTGTCTTACTAGGCCTACTAACACTACTTACTGTAAATGCTACTGTCCCACATACTCAACTTTCAACCTAATAACCAGTTATTACTCTAGTTGTCAGTAATATGTAGATTCTTGTAGAGGTACAGTGGTGAGCGGTTAAGCCGGTCTTACAGCCTACTTAAAACTGTTTCTTATTTTCAGTCATTTTTTTTAATGTCTTCCAGATACATATTAAGATACTTACCTCTGATTGTTCGACAAGATGACCCATTATTGTGTAAATATATCGACTTGTCTGTGACACAATATACTTTTTTGTGACAGTACTCTCGTAGCTCTTGAGAATAAGCTGGGCTGTCTTCGGCAGTCCACCTTCGCTGACGCTCATTGACTCTCAAAGCTCCATGGGACAACAATGTTCAGGTTGAACCCCGCGATAACCACTTTATAAAAGGGAAGTAAAAGTTGTGGGGGATGGAGGAGGTGAGAGAGCGTGTAGTACCGCCAAGCTCAGCTGAGAGTGACTGAGGGAGTCCTTTGTCTGACACCCACCCAGCTGATTGGCCGCTCAGCTGATGCTCCATTACCAACCCTCCCTCCAAACACCACCATCTCTAACTCCATTTACTCACATTCTTACCTCAAACTAATTAAGCGTAATATAGAATAATACTCACAATCAC